GGGGGGGGGGGTGAGGGAGGGGGAGGGACAGGGGACAGAGCTCGGGGACGGGACCTGAGAACCCCTGGGACCCCCCCACAGGCCCCGGCAGGCCTGGCAGGCGCGCACACCGGACCCGCACACCGGACCCGCGGTCAGCATCAAATTAGCACAAATGTATGAACAGATGGCTCTATCGAGGCGGGCGGGAGGGGTTCTACGCCTGAGGTTTCCGGTCCTGGGGTGTAACTTTGCGGCTGTTGTCGGTGCTACACTGGGGTTGACTTGGTTTGGGTTTTGTGTGAGTGAGAGAGAAGGAAACTAAGTAGAAAGATGCCCAAACTGACTCGGCGCTGTCCCCACACTCACCCATCATTCCTTTCTACTTTTTTTGTCTTTTTCTTTGTTGGTCGTGGGTCTTGAACTCTGGGCCTGGGTGCTGACCCTCAGCTTTTCAGCTCAAGGCAAGTGCTCTACCACTTGAGCCACTGCACCATTTCCAGTTTTCTGGTGGTTCATTGGGGATAAGAATCTCATGGGGGCTGGGAAGGTAGCTCAGTGGTAGAGCACTTGCCTTGCATGCATGAGGTCCTGGGTTCGATTCCTCAGCACCACATAAGCAAAAAGAAAAAAGCCGGAAGTGGCATTGTGGCTCAAGTGGTAGAGCGCTAGCCGTGAGCTGAAGAGCTGAGGGACAGCGCCCAGGCCCAGAGTTCAGGCCCCACGACCGGACCCAAAAAAAAAAAAAGATCTCATGGGCTTTCCTGACTCAGCTGGCTTTCCGTGATCCTTGTATCTCAGCCTCCTGAGTAGTGAGGATTATAGGCATGAGCCATCTGTGCCTGAGACCACATGCTTTTACTCTTGAATATCTAGAAGTTTCTTGACAGTAGGTCCTCAGCTGGGAGATCACCCAGTATGGGCACACTGTTGGGGGCCAGGCAGAATGGGTATCACCTTCTAAATGGAAGTGGGACTAAGGCCCAAGCTAGGAAAATTAGGCTGACCCCAGAGCTGGGTTAAGGGGCTGATAATGTATGTATGTGTACATGCATGTGTATGCATGTGTGCATGCTTGGGCACATGTGTGTACACGTGGTGGTACTTGGGCTTGAACTCCAGGCTTAATTATTGCTAGGTAGGTGCTCTACCATTTGGGACAAAGCTCCACTTTGGTTTTTTGTTTATTTGTTTGGGGGTGGGAAGCTAAGTGGTTAATTGGAGATAAAGAATCTTAAGGATTTTCCTGCCCAAGCTGGCTTTGAACCATAATCCTCAGATCTACGCCTTCAGAGTAGCTAGGATTACAGGCAAGAGCCACCAGTGCTCAGCAGGAAAATGTCTTTACTGAATAAAATAAACATTCACATATTTCCTACACAGAAAGAAAAAAAAGTCCTACATTAAAAAAAAAAACCAGCTCAGTTTTTGCAATTGTTTGGGAGAAAGCTCGGAGAACCATCTTTGGCCCATCATATGGCGGTAACGTTCTGTTCTGCTGCTCTCAATCTCAACCACACCCACTGCCTCTGGAGAATCGCTCTCACTCAGGCTGATGGGAAGCAGACTGGTGTCAGCAGGGACTGGAAGCAGGAGTGTGTTCAGGGAGCGTCCGGAACTTCCAGAACCACTAACCCTTTGCTCTCTCTGCTCCCAGGGCTGGCAGTGCTACCCGGCTAGGTCTTCTCTTGGGTCAGGGTGCTGTGGGATTGAGGCCCCCACTGCCTTTACTTGGGATGTTTCCATGAATCCCCCTTTAACCAAGTACTCTGCCCCCCTGCAGGCCTATCAACTCTTTTGTACAAGGCTGTGACGTGAGCACAGGTGCCTGCTGGTTTGAGCTCATTGGTTTCTGCAGTTAGGTTCTGTCCGTGAGGCCCACGGAGCCTTCTTGGATTCACGTCTACTTTAGGATGTTGTTCGGTCAGCTTGCCTGGTTTCAAGGGTTTTGTTCACGTGTGTATGCATGTGTGTGCACGTGCACACACACCTGTGTGCCAGTCCTGGGGCTTGACCTTAAGTCCTGTGCACTGACCCTTAGCCTTTCCATCCAAGGCTGTTACTCGATCATTTGAGCCACAGCTCCACTTTTGGCTTCTTTCTGGTTAATTGGAGATGAGTCTCACAGACTTTCTTGTCTGGCTGGCTTCCAACCACGATCCTCAGATCTCAGCCTCCTGAGTAGCTAGGATCACAGGCGTGGGCCATGCAGGGCAGTTGGCATCATTT